AGAAGGAACTAATTTGGCCCTTGTATGCACCTTCACCACAGCAGTAAATAAATTTATGAAGGTATTTGGGGTCCTTACAACAAAAACTGGCTTTAAAGCAGTGGGGCAAGAATATAATAGCTAGCAGGCCTATTTAAATCCATATCACTGTGCAATTACACACACAAATTCAATAATTCTTACTTTCTGTTTACTGATTAGGTCATTACACTGAAAACTGCATAGGTCATTAAACATTTACAGATCAAAGATTTTAGAAACATATCTCCAAACAGAATTAATAATTATTTGGCTTGAATCCTAAATGTGAGATTTAATGAATGGAATGAAGCAGTCACACACAAAGTGTGACTGCTTATAAACTATATAATGATATCTGGAAAGAGTACACCATTACTATGCAGATGATTAGGAACTACAAAGGTAACCTCCCCTCAAAAGAGCTATCAGCTGAACTGCTCACTCTTCTTTGTCATTTTCTTACAGAGTAGGCACCAAAGTGAAAGATGTTATACAGGTGCTAATTTCAGATTAACTGAATATTCTTTAATTGAGGAGGAGCAAAACAGCCTCTCGCTCAGTCCTTTACTCAGACATTAACCTGTCATGATGTCCAGCTGCATGCCTTGACAAATATAAATTATATGGTTTAAAAAGAGACATGATTTTAAAAAATATATCAGTGAAAGACTAAGATCACAACCCAGCACCTACACAATATATGATTCCAGTTGTATTCTTGATGATGAAAGGCATTTCAAGGTTGTATCAGTGAGGGGGTGTCATGGTCATGAGGGATGGCCAGCAGCCTGGGGATTAAGCCGTTAACTGTACCTAGCCAGGTAGCAGTCAGCCAATAGAAATACAGATAGGGATTTTCAAACTGACACAAAGGACTTTTGGGGTTTTTCCCTCCTTCGTCTCTGGGCCAGTTTGCTTTAGATACTGAGGGAGACAGAAGACAGGTCTCTCTCCAAGAAAAAGACTCTTCATAATGTGTAAGTAGAGTAAAGTTTAGATAAATAGGTTAGGTTTTATTGTTTTCTGTTGTGGGACTTTGGATCTGATGCCTGTGCTGTTGGAAATGGGTTTCCTTCCCTTTTGTAACTAAGTCCTGAGCCCATGGGAGTCCCCATGAGTATATTAATTGGTGACTTTTTCCATCTAGTCATTCTGCTTGCAACGGGAGTATTGTTTTGATAATAAAAGTTCTTTCTTTTTATTAACCTGGCATGGGTTCAGTTCTGTGTCTTGGAAAATCTGTCTGTGGGATCTGCATGCCTCTGACTAGGGGATAGCAGCCACAGACTGCAGTTTATATTTTCTGTTTCTTTTTCAAATTCTTTGGAGAAAAGAGCTTGGGATACCTTGGAGTTGGTTTCAAGTGTCCACCCCTATTTGTAGGTTCAAAAGCACTTGATTGTGATAGTGGATTTTTATCCCTAAAATCTAGATTTTTAAGATTTTTGGGGGAAAGCTTTATACCAAAGCCTTGAAAGGTTTTGGGGTTGCTTTTGCAGGCCCCCACTTCTGCATTCATTGTGCCAGAGTGGGGAATCAGCCTTGACATGGTGGCAAAGTGGTGGGATCATTTTGAGAGCCCAGGATTTTTAAAAGGACACAGGTTTTTCTTTTGAGTAGTTGCATGCTTTGGAGGTTTTTTCCTTCCTTCCTTCCTTCCTTCCTTCCTTCCTTCCTTCCTTCTTTTTTTTTTTTTTTCTGTTGGTGTCTTGGGGAAAGGCACTACAGCCAGACAGTCCATCCCAACCACTTTGTTTTGTTCTAGCTTTCAGGACAACTGGATAGCTAGTCTAGAATAGGGCAGGGAAGGAGCCTAGTACATGCTTTTGTGGTCGGGCAAAGTAGCTCTAGAGCAGTGGTCCCCAATGTGGTGCCCGTGGGCGCCATGGTGCCCACTGGGCCATTTCTGTGCGCCCGCCGAGTGATCAGGGCTGGCCCTGCGCCCGCCCCTGGGCGCATGGGCACTGCCGGCTCCTGGGCACGTGCCGTATGGGCGTCCCCACCTCTGGGCATACGGCACAGGAGTGGCGCCGTCCCCAGGCATGCAGTACATGGGCTGTTCCAGCCCCAGTCGCATGGGCTACGTCTACACTGGCCCCTTTTCCGGAAGGGGCATGTAAATTTCACGAGTCGTCGTAGGGAAATCCGCGGGGGATTTAAATATCCCCCGCGGCATTTAAATAAAAATGTCCGCCGCTTTTTTCCGGCTTTTAAAAAAGCCGGAAAAGAGCGTCTAGACTGGCCCCGATCCTCCGGAAAAAGGGCCCTTTTCCGGAGGCTCTTATTCTTACTTCAAAGCACAGGAGCGGCACCGGACCGGCGCTGGCATGGCGTATGGGCAGCACCACCGGACCGGCGCTGGCCCCGGGAGTGCGGCGCATGTGTGGCGCCGGCACCAGGCACGTGGCATATGGGTGGTTCCATGCCCGGGCATGTGTGCGGCCCAGCCCCCGGGTGCATGCACAGCCCCGCTCCCGGGTGCCCGGCAGCCCTGAAAGGTTGAGGACCACTGCCCCTAGAGCAACCAGCCCTTCCTAAGCAACACCCTGGCGTAGAACCAGCCTCAGATCAGGGTAAGATGTCCAGCTCCAGGGAAGATTCACACCCCGAGGCAAGGAGACAGAAGCATGTCCCTGTGAGTTCAGGGGGAAGTGACCCTAAGGGGGCAGGAGCAGTGGTTTGCAGCCTTACTTCCCCCTCACCAGCGCCTTTTATGTGGGATTATGTCTTAAAGGCAGGCAGACTTCTAACAGAGAAAGAGATGGAGTTTCTCCTATGGATGCAGCAACACCCAACGAGAAGCCAAGGAGAAGCGCGACCAATGAGAAGTGGAGGTGAGGCTAGCTGCAATAGCAGCAGAGACAAGGTGAGCAGAACTAGAGACCCAAGCTGCACCTGAGAAAGCTAAGCAATTGGACACTCCAGGTACCCCACCCAACAATCCTGCCTCCATCATCATTTAAGCCCCTAGGAGACTTCCCATGTACCAAGTAGGTGATAATGTAGAGGACTTCTTCCTCAACTTTGAGAGGGCCTGTCAGGGGTACAACATCCCCATCCCCTCATCAATACATGATGGAGTTAAGATCACAAATCACTGCTCCCTTAATGGTGGTGGCAAGAGACATGCCAGGGGACATGGTAAACGATTATTAACTGTTTAAGGAAGAGGCCAGACTCAGGATGGGACTCACTCCTGAACAGACCAGTGTTGCTTCAGGGCCTTCAAATGGACCCCAAACACACCATTTCCAGAACATGCTAGTTGTGTACTCAAAAGCTGGGAAACATAGCTCTCTGGAGAGAAGGCCGACACCCGGGAAGAAATATCTCTCCTGATGCAGATGGAACAGTTCCTTGAGGGTGTTTCTTTTTTCCATTTTACTTCCTATTGCAGGTGGTCTCTGGATAGGCCATTTTAAATGCTAAATTATATGAATATTGCTGGTTACCATGGTCCACAGGGAAAAATAACCCCAAATTCCCTAGAATGCACAGCAGCAGACAGAAGGAAACAGAAATCTTAGACTTGTGGCTTATTTCAGTACTTGTCTTCTGTTTAATTTTGGACAGCTATATACAAACACCAGCACAAGCACCCTGTCCACAGTTCAGGAAGCTGGAGAATCACCATTAGCACCACTTTATATAAGCTAAGGCCAGGCCCTCTCAGAGAATGACAGAAGCCCAGACCACTTTGAGTTTAGAGGCCCCAGCCCCAGGTCCCTGATGTATCTAACTTCTCATCCACAGGGTCATACTAAAACCAAAAGACTATATGAAAATGAACACTTGAGACATGTATTTATTAACAATTAAGTCATTATACCAATAGTATGTACTGTATATTAAAAATGTAACTTTAATTATGAGTTTCCACTGCAAACAAAACACTTCATTTTATGAATGCTTTTCTGGCTTTGTTGTGTGCAAACTCATTTATAATTGAAGAAAAATCTAATTTACGTGCAACATCACCATTAATGTTAAGCATTGTGAACCCATTCAAATGTTCTTGTCCCATTGTAGAACATGTTGAATATGCATTCATCTGAAGCTACTGATGCAGGGGTGGGGATAGCAGCCAGTGCAATCCAGCCCCACTTCCGAGGAGACCTCTGCCACTCCATGCTGCTGCCTCTCTATCAGAGGCAGCAGCACAGGGTGCCAGGCAGGAGCTGGTCTGTGAGGGGAGTCAGTTTAAAAACTAGCTCCCCTTATGGACCAGCTGCCTGTTGCTCCACACTGCTTCCTCTGATACACAGACAGCAGCACAGCAGTAACCCCTGTCAGGGAGAGCAGTGTGTCTGAGCTCCCAGACCTCCCGTGAACAAGAACTGAGCTGGGCTGCCTGCCCTCCTGGCTCCTAATACATTTTAAATGCAGAACCACAGCAGGGGTAGGTCCTGGACCAGGTGCAAGCTGAAACTGAGCCATGCTGCTGGCCAGCCTGCTAAAAAATTTTCTGGCAAGGGTGGGAGGAAATGAATGTAGTCTATAGCATTAACCTATAAGCTTTTGTTTATCGATTAATCAGTTAATCGACTATACTATTACATCCCTACTCTGATTTACTCTAAATCAATTCCAGTATCTCTACCAATAGATGTCACTGTTACACATTATTTTATTTTAAGCATTACCACATACAGTATCAGTAATGAATAGCTAGCTGTTCAAAAAGATTTTACAAGAAATTACCATAATTTTGTTAGCTATTTCAACCAAGCAAATGTGTAGGCTCTCTCCTACTCCCAGTCCTCCCCTCCTCACGTTGATGATGATGGGGCTTCCGCATCCTCATGAACTATTTGCACTTACTGAAAATGCAATGGACTTGCAGCTAACTAGAAGTCTATACTTAAGCCTACAATAAGCCATTTGTTTCAGACAACTTGGGACCTATTTGTAACGGAGAACTAATATGCTCAGTAAGTGCCTGTCTTTGCACTTAGCTAGTGTTTCAGAAAATTACTTACATTCAGGTCGAGGTTCAGGTGCAATATATTTCTGTCAACTCTTTTTCCTTTATTACAATCTGCATATGGCTCAGATTGTTCCAAACCGAAACCCCAAACCCAGAGATCTTCATCTTTATTTGTGACCTCTCTCTTAGTTGGTTGTTCAGTAAAGTTATCCTTCAAAGCAGTCTCTGGTAGAAAACCTACAAGATTTTAACAACAACAAAAAATCCACATCAACAAGAACTCTACATTCTTCATTCATCAGTATAATGTAGACACATACACATTTCATTGTATTTGTTAATAGCATAAATTATTATATACATTTCATATTCTCACAAATGATATAACAGCAATGTATTTATCTACATATCTTGGTACTGGTCCAGGCAAAAATTGACTCCATAATAGTGTCCCTCCACTGTGGAAGATACTGGAGTTTACTGCTCACCAGCCAAGACATTTTTCCCCACTCTACCTGAGGATTCATTATACATCCTGATCTAAGTGCTATGATCACAGTCACTTGTGAAATGAGCTAAGGAAATTCCATTGAGAATAATTAGGGATTTCACCCCCCACCATATTCCGTGGCACTTCTGGCAAAGTCAGCTTTGCCTATGTTGTACCAACACACAGTAGTCTTAAGTCAAGGGTGGGCAATAATTTTTGACCGGGTCCCACTTCAGAAATTTTTGAAGTGGTTCCAAGGCCTTAGGTGGAAGGGTCAGCGGCAGGACACTTTCATGCTTCCCTGTCAATAGACCCTGACTGGTCTGTGGGTGGGAGAGCGCGTGAAGTCTTTGCCCACCCCCAGAGAGAACCACCAGCTGTTCAGAACAGCTGGTGGTTCCCCATAGGCACCTGTGCCCCTGGCAGTGGCAGAAGACTTTGTGCACTTTCCACCTGCTCTCAAGTCACTCAGGGCCCAGGGTGGGTGGAGCACACGAAGTCTGCTCCCACCCTGCAAGGGAGCACTGTGCTTAGTCACCCGCCAGCTGAGCAGCAGCTGGCGATTGACTCTAAGTGCTGAGCTCCTTACAGGGAGGGAGGAGACTTTGCGCATTCCCTCCACCCCCAGGTCAGGGGAGTGCACAAAGTCTCCTCCCCCCTCCAGGTCTTGATTGGCCTCAAGGCAGGAGTGGGAGGTGCAAAGTCTCTTGCTCCCTGTCCTCCAGTGCATAGTGTTTAGAGTCTACTGCTAGGGTTAACTCAAAATACTGCACACTCCCCTGTCCCTAGGCCCTGATTGACCTGGGGATGGGAGAGTGATAGGACCTTTGCAGGCCGGATCAACCTGCTTAGCAGGCCGGATCCAGCCCACGGAGGCCCTTTTGCCCACCCATGCTTTAAGTCAAAATGGTGTTAAAAGTATGAACAGAGTTCTCAATCCATCCACAGTGACGTGTTCCATGGAATGAGGCAAAAATATGCACAATACATATAAAAACGTTCTAATACTTTGTAGTATTAAAGCAATTTCTGTAACTTTGCCACAGATTTGGTCCTATGCATGTACAGTAGTAAGGTAGTGTTCTTTTTGTTACTTTGAAAGTCACAGTCATGACTTAAGTCAATCAAGATAAAATGGTTCCTATTGCTGTACTTCTAATTGCAAAAGCAATAAATCTAACACAGTGAGAGAATTCTTCAAAGCATGAAAGATATCTAGAAAAAGACAGTCTGTCTTTCCTTATAACTTTGCCATAGTTGTATATGCACATGAATACATGGCACAATAATCTCCACAAATATTCGGATGGAAATATAAATGCTAAACACATTTTCAGAGAGGTAATGGTGTTAGTCTGTAACTTTAAAAACAATGAGTAGTCCTGTGAAACCTTAGAGCAGAGGCTGGCAACCTACAGCACACCCCGCTTCCCCTGTGCAGCCGCTGGAGAGCGCTCCCTCCTCCCTGCAGCAGGTTAAGATGCTGTAGAAGGAGGTAGTGCTGGGTCTGAGGCTCCTCAGCAGCTCCTCAACTGGGACTGGAGGCGCTTCTGCCTGGCCATGCACAGGGGAGTGCACAAAGTCTCCTCCCCCCTCCAGGTCTTGATTGGCCTCAAGGCAGGAGTGGGAGGTGCAAAGTCTCTTGCTCCCTGTCCTCCAGTGCATAGTGTTTAGAGTCTACTGCTAGGGTTAACTCAAAATACTGCACACTCCCCTGTCCCTAGGCCCTGATTGACCTGGGGATGGGAGAGTGATAGGACCTTTGCAGGCCGGATCAACCTGCTTAGCAGGCCGGATCCAGCCCACGGAGGCCCTTTTGCCCACCCATGCTTTAAGTCAAAATGGTGTTAAAAGTATGAACAGAGTTCTCAATCCATCCACAGTGACGTGTTCCATGGAATGAGGCAAAAATATGCACAATACATATAAAAACGTTCTAATACTTTGTAGTATTAAAGCAATTTCTGTAACTTTGCCACAGATTTGGTCCTATGCATGTACAGTAGTAAGGTAGTGTTCTTTTTGTTACTTTGAAAGTCACAGTCATGACTTAAGTCAATCAAGATAAAATGGTTCCTATTGCTGTACTTCTAATTGCAAAAGCAATAAATCTAACACAGTGAGAGAATTCTTCAAAGCATGAAAGATATCTAGAAAAAGACAGTCTGTCTTTCCTTATAACTTTGCCATAGTTGTATATGCACATGAATACATGGCACAATAATCTCCACAAATATTCGGATGGAAATATAAATGCTAAACACATTTTCAGAGAGGTAATGGTGTTAGTCTGTAACTTTAAAAACAATGAGTAGTCCTGTGAAACCTTAGAGCAGAGGCTGGCAACCTACAGCACACCCCGCTTCCCCTGTGCAGCCGCTGGAGAGCGCTCCCTCCTCCCTGCAGCAGGTTAAGATGCTGTAGAAGGAGGTAGTGCTGGGTCTGAGGCTCCTCAGCAGCTCCTCAACTGGGACTGGAGGCGCTTCTCCCTGGCCATGCAGTCCAAGGAAGGCCCAGAATTGCATGGCAGAGGCAGCGCTGCCTCTGGCCTCCAACAGTGGGGCCTCTGGGGCTGTCCCTGGACCACATGGGCCCTGGCAGTGGTAGCAGGTCCTACCGTTGGGGCAGCCTGGGACAGCGTGGCCGTGGCCATTACTACAAAGGGGTGCAAAGCCAGGTAAGGTCCCTCTTCATGCTCAGACCCCCCCCCACTCCAATCCCCTCAAGATCCCAACTCCCAGCTTGCTCTGACACCCTCCCTTGTTCCTGCACCCCCCCTGGCCTGGCCAGACCCCCCCACCCTGCTCCTGCATCCACTGTTGCTCCTGCTCCCTCCACCTGACCAGACACCCTATTCCCAGCCTGCTTCTGTATCCTACCTCCCAGCCAGACCTCACAACCTCCCCCCTTCTGCACCCTACTGCCTTTCCTCCCACATCCTGTACCCCATCCCTATCCTGCTTGCTGGTAGCCCTGTCTCTCACGCTCTACCCCCTCATTTTTGTCCACACCCCAGAGTCTAAGGGGGGTCATAAAATCCACTAACTCCTGAACCCCAGAAAAGTAAATCTGGTCAATGAGAAGCCCTGAAACACACCCCATGAGGCTGGGGCACCAGAGGAGTGAGGTGTCTCGGCTAGGGGCCATATCAGCGAGAGTTGGGGATTTTTGGAGGAGTTTGTTTGCTTCTAACTTTGTGGTCCCCAACTGATTTTTCTGTGGGCCAGTGACACCCGACCCAAAAGAGGTTCCCACCCCTGCCATAAATAAAGAAAACGTTGAAACCTTTTGTGTTGGACATAATATTTATGTTATTTAAAATGAAGTTTGATAAACCAACATGAGAAAGTTAAAATACTTAATCTGTTTCATAATTTAAATTAAACCATTCTCCTACAACTGCATCCTGTAGCTGCAACTGGTTCAGAAAATATGGTCACCATACTGAGCCTGCCTTAGCCTCTGCTCCCCTCCCCTTCCCTCCTCTCCCCCTAACTCCCTGCACACAGATCCATGAATAAGTTAAATCTTGGTACACTGCTTCTGAAAGGTTGCCAACCCCTGCACTAAAAGGTAACATCTCAATCTTTCTTTATTAATGAAGCTGCTGTAAGTAGGACTATCACTGATTTTTAAAAAGTATGACTGGCACTCAGACCCATACATAGAGGTGAACAAGTCAAATCTCAGGACTCCGCCTCTGAAAGGTTGCTGATCCCTGCCTTAGAGACTAACAAAAATATATAGAATCATAAGTTTTCATGGGTAAAAGTGGGTTTTACCCATGAATGCTCATGATTCTGTATATCTTTGTTAGTCTCTAAGGTGCCACAGGACTACTCATTGTTTTTAAATAAACTTTGTTAACTGTTCGCTGCTATACACCATCATTTTGTAGACGGACTATGACTGTTTTCGAAACAAAATACTTTCAATTTTATTTTTGACATTTTCTTTAACATTTTGAAAAGGATCTTTTTAACATGAAACACTAAGGCCAATATTTTTCAAACATGGTTGCATGAAGGCAAACACTTAAATCAATATTTAGGCATCTAAATAAATATCCTGATTTTCAGAGCTACTTAAGTACTAAGCTTTCAGCAACCTAGGAACAATAATGGAGCAATAAACATAAAATGCTTTTAAGTCAGAATATGATGAAAATTCAAATAATTGATGTAAAATCTAATTAAATGGCAAGCAAGCATGAGTGCAGTGGTCAGCAATAAGGTTAACATTTTCAAAAATGGTGAATGTTTAATCCAATGAAGCAATTTTATCCTAAGATACTGCAGCTTAGTGTAATTAAGTGTAATGTGCTTGAATTTCTTTTCTTGCCAAAACAGCTAATGCTTAGCTTACAGTGTACACAATTTCTGGTCTTCAAGTACAAAGCCAGACTAATTTTATTAAAGTCATCACCAAATGCGTAGTGGGTATTAAGTTATCCAACTTCAGGATTAGTTTAAAAATAAGGCATTTATAAATTATATGTAAAATTTGCTCCTAGTATAAATTTGGCCTACTATGTCTCAGCAGCAGTTAATTTCACAGAGAGAATCTAATTGCATAGGTACATGGAACAGAGGATTACAGTTTTATCAGAATAGCCAGAAAAATCTTGTGCAACGTGAAAGATTTACAGCAAGGTTGTGACCCAACTCAAATCTGCCTGATTTGTGTCCATTTATCATTTTTTGTATAGACTATCCAGTTTGGCCAATATACATGGCAGAGGGGCATT